ACTTGAAACCCCTCTGTGGCTACTGCCGATCCCAAGCCCGAATAAAATAGGGGGGTCGATCTTGGAGTTAACGACCCCATCCCGTTGAAAACCAACTCGCCTAAAGAACGCTTACAAGAAAAAATATTTCAAGGCACTTGAAATCTGCTCTGTGAGTTAGAAGTTCTTCATTTAGAAGAGTTATGACGCCTCATCCTGAAAGCCGAGTTCCTTCGAAATTCACGAGGGTGGTGTCTCTTCTGGCAACCCGGTGAGCTAATAATTTATGTAGACGGAATGCTTGTAGAATGTGGGAGACCAGGAGAGTAGTCCAGAAATGGTCTATAACATAGCTGATGTTTAATTAGCATCCACGTTGGAGATACAAAGACAAGGAGTTAAAGGACCGAGGAAGCGTCGATATCAGTGTATTGTCAAACAATGAGCCTTAGGCTATGGTGATTCATGACCTTAAAACAACGTTTCATTACGTTTCGACTGAAGCCAAAAGGTTTAGAACCCTATAATCCTCAAGACCAACATTCAATAAGTTAGATACACATTTGGCAGATCCAAATCCAAAAACGGCGCTCAGAAAAGAAAACATTTTCAGAGGTGTCTTGGATTTCTTGGAAAACGTACAAAGTTCAGCCACCACCACAATTCCAAGATTATGAGGTGTATCTAGTACAGATTTGCTGGAGAATTTAGACGTCTCTACTGTCTCCCACCATGGATTGAGAAGTGATCAAATTTCAGCGCATAAAACGCTAAGAATTGCTTTGGACCTAATATTTCATACTCTATCCTTCCTACCGTATCACAACAGCACAGGCTACAAAGTTGGAGAGTATAAATGACAGAGAAGAACAAAATACCTGTCGCATACAGTTTTCCACAGCGAGTAATCAATTCTTAAACCATGCACCCGAATATATGGTATCTGTTAAGTCGATTTGTTTATTTAAGTGAAGACTTGACGCTCAAAGGAGTTCACCAGAAAGAGAGTAACTTAGACCGTAGGCCTTCTTTCCCCAATACACAAATCTTGTTCTAAAACTCTATTTCATCATCCTGTAGGACAGGTAAACTACAACGCATGGTGTATTGTATTGCAGAAAAAATGATTTTCGGCACCATTTACGATTAAACGAATGATTTTACAGAAGACAGAAATATTCTGCATGACTGTATAGTACGTCTTAATCAGTTCATGAATGAGCTGTGCGTCGCTGGATCAATAATATCACAGAAAATATACCTGTCGTCGAGCCAAAGGGATGATGAGTCCTAATTTATGGACAACCTTTATGCGACTATAAAGCAACCTTGAGATTGTTCACCCACTAACTTTGACTAAATGAGAGTTATGAACTAGTGTGATGAATTAAAATTATGATTTACAGTTAGGAATTGAAATCAGAGTTTTCATCACAAACTGACATCAACTAAAGTGTCAAAATGCTAATCAGCCAATTAGATCGATGAATGTCGAGTCAAAATCCCGACTCCAATTGGCTCGTCTACAACTTATAATCTCACCGAAAGGATAATTCAGTCCGTACCCTAACTTTAGTTACTGGTCACCAGAGTACAAACTTTGACCAACGAGACCTTAGCCACTTATTTTGTTGAAATCAGGAGGATAGTATACAAAAGACTCTGGCGATAAGCTAGCTACGTCTCAAAATAGTCCGCTACTATTGAGTCATTATGATGAAGTAATGGTAGATATCATAAGAGATACGTATTGGCGGCGTTAGAAGTAGGTTATTTACCTCGTTAACAAGGCTACAAAATACGACCTTCCCTGAAATACTGCTCTTTTATCTTCTCTAACATGAATACCACAGAAAAGATGAGAGAAGAAGACGTTCAAAGACGCTTCACACGCCAAGTGCTAGGAAGTAACTCGAATGCCGATTACACAGATAGATGTAATCAATTCTCTTTAGAACCTCTATGGCACCATAGCCTAAAAAATAATTTAATATTTCTCTACAAAGCGATATATGGACTCTCATTTCTAACCTCCTGCCCAACTATGATTCATGACCCAGCCAAAAGACTAAGAAAAAATACATATACACTACTTACCGTAAAACACCAGAAACAAATGCGTTGTAAGTTTTTCACAGTACGATATCGTTTATTGTGGAACAGGTTGTCAATGCCTACCCGTAACTGTGACACATTTGCCGGATTCAAAAGATTAATAACCTTATTTTTAGACTTTGAAGAGCTTTAATCTTTCCTTAAACTCCTACCCACCAATGAAGCACTTTATTATGGACCGCCTATTATTTAGACGGAACAAGAATATAACGATCCCGACTATTACTAATATGAATACAACTAAATTACAGGGCATATGGCCTAATGCGATTTCTAGGAGCTCAAGAACGGTTAGTCGAACATCATAATCTGAGAGAAGGAAATGTAATAATTGTGGTTTAATATATTTCGACTAGCGATAAACGGCCTTTTGGAGTGATGGAAAGTTGTGAAAGGTTGTAGCGGTGAAAATTCACACGAAAAGTAGGTCGTCAAGAAGAAACACACGTAAGAAGTGTGTCGTTGAAGAGTTTGAATAGTTTAGTGAATAAATGTCGGTAGGATGAGTAGGGGTATTTTTGTAAGTCCTATTTACTTTAACGTCGATTATGTGTGTTTGATGAACCCTCAATGAAATTATCAAAGTGCACATGTGCTGCAGTTCAGTGAAAAATCCTTTTTGAAAGTTTGTGTGAATGTGTATGAAAATCCGTCTATGTAAACACTTGTATGATGTAACTCATTGTTTCACGTTAAATCACGAAGTTATTCTTATTGATCCCTTAGATATGCATTCGTTTGAACTTTTGGACCCAAATGGAACTGTAACTGTTTATTTTTTGTAATGGATTTTGTTTTTCTGACGTTTCTGCTGGATTTCTGTGGTTTTCATAGACTGTTCTTTCTAGCATTTTGATTGTGACAGATGATACATCGATTCTTTGTAGATTTTGATTTCTATGACTGAACTTACTGGAAGCAAGTTTGATATCATTTGATGAGACTTGATATTACGTAAGCTCTAATAAGAATACGATTTTTGTAATGCTATGGAATACGGAAAAGCCAATGACGATATCTCTTCGAAGTAATCTTGATTTATTCGTTTTGTATGTTTCTTCTCTTCTTCTGTTAGATTTTACTAAATCAGATACAATGTGCCCGATCAGGTTACTTCTCTAGTTGATTAGTCTTACTTTATTGTCTGAGCAGTGTCTCTGTGTCTTGTTCGCTAAAATTTACCAGCTCGACATTCACCTGTGTTGGACATGACTACATCCAGTTGTCCGGAAAATACAAGGGAGAAATCGGTACTGTTCGTGTGCATAGTGGTTTAGCATTTGGTTTATCGTAGATGATTGTTGTTGCCGAAATTTTCACTAAATTTTCTTGATTCAAATGTAATAAAAATAGCTATGTAAATCAGTTATTAAGTGAAAAGGATGATAAAACATCATAAGTAGCTAGTGGATGCTGAGGAAGTGTAACTAAAATGAGTGAATATCGCTATGATGCAGAGCATTATATGAACATACTGAAAATGAGAAAGTTAGTCCATGTGGCTAAGCTAAAACATTTTTGGAATCTACAGAATACATTATGGAGTAGATTATAAAGACTTGATGTAGTTGATGTTCACGTGACCGAAGATTGGTGCATAGAAGCTGATTCATGTCACTGTCGATACCTACACAGTCGGTCATTTGAAAAAGAAGATAGTAGTTCCTAAGCACAAAGGGGAAACCATCCTGTGGCGCACGCACAGTTTTAGTGGGCTTTATTTTCCCCATTTACCGCCCTATTCCTGGAAATGTAGGCAGATGTCGAAGCCGAACACAACTAAATTCTATAACAGTATCGTAACCATGTGAATTGGAAGAATGAAACTTTTTTATGTAGACTCATAGACTGTGACATCTCATTACTTTGATGACACTGTTTATTATTGTGAAATCGCTAAATCAGTAGGTATGAGCTATTTTCTTGTCGTTCGCCCACAAATTTTCACAACCAGTTTAGCCACGTGCTGTGTCTTTATTGGGTTTAGATCCCAGATCGATGTTAGTACGACTATTTCAGCTGCAGGAATAGTTGATCTAATTCAATATTGTCGACTTTGAATTGTGTGACTGTCTAATCTAAAAGATTTGAGGACTTAACAGGTCCACAATGGTCGTCAATAATTTTTCGGTTCAAAATTTAGGGGCTGACACACTAAAACCATTTCTCTAGAGAAATAGTTCCCTCAGATGGTAAACTGACTCTACAAAAAGATCTACTTACGACTAACGATCTTCTTCCTTTAAATACCAAGAAACGCAGTGGGATATATCAAGGAAATTTCATTAAAGCCAAACTTCTTTGGTATTCCAGTATCGCATACACAATCACTGGAAGGTATCTAAGTATCACTCCTAGTGACATTACATATATCACTTTCCATTATATCTTCACTCAATAAAAAACAATTGACTTTAAAATTTGTTTTCAGAAAATTAGAAAACCCGACTCCGGAATCTCTTGAAGCATTTTCTGATGCGAAAATAAGATTTGGTTTATTAAAAGACATTTTGGATGGGACAGGAACGAACTGGCACTAAGATACACTCAATCTATTTTCGTGTCTAGGGTCGCAAAAATGAGTAACTTTTTACCAGAAGCAATAGTTAATTCGCCCTCTACAGGGCTTTTACAAAGAATCATATATGCTTACTGTGTCCTACAGACACTGGAGAAGATTATTTCATCACTTCCGTTATTAAATAATTAGTTCCCTTCTTAGTTTCTAGATGTAATATGGCAAAAAAGCACATCTTCTCGTAATTAAGACAGCCCTTTTGCAACCCAAAAACAGATCTCAGGGTATAAACAGTTCGCGAATCCCGCCAGACAAATTTGAAGATGATTCAGGTTTCGAAACATTTTGAAATATTACGTTTCACTGATGACCTTGGCTGGGTTTAAGGATGGGGTTAGTTACGTCAATTATTATCCGTGTTAAATTTATAGATTTATAGAAATACTGATCATTCTCCTTTAAATAATTTTTCACCAATCCATATTAGTGTTTCATGTAAACAATGACTAAGTTTGTCGTGAATAGCTTTTACTACAGCTTTATGCTAGTATATATAAGTTGTGGTGGGTTGAAGGTATTTATTCTTCCATATAATCATTAAGGCTTTGTGCATTTCTTTGTTGAGTTGTGAGAATTGTTAACTTTGACCTGACTAGAGAAACTACCAGAGAAATATATCAGCCTTTTTATGAGATTTGTCAGAAATACCTGGTTGATGAATATACGAATCAAATAATGTATGCTCAGGCAATAAATAAAATAAAAATGAAGAAGTTTTATAGATCAATATTACTAAAAGAACTCAGTAACATATAAACTTGTTAAATATCAAGTGCCATTGACTAAAAAAGTCTATATACATCATATGATGCAAAGTAACCGATTTACCAATATGTTGTCTTTGTTTTTCCTTTTATTACCGCTTAAATGCACCTCTTAATTGACCGAATTTGTGGGCCTTTTTGTATTACATATCTCTTTACGTAAAGTCCCAATCAAATATGTTCAGTTTTCCTAAAATCAATATGTATGTTTATTTACTTCCAGATCAGTCCCGAATACTTTAAATAAAAGGCTTATATTAACCCTAAGTATAAAAGTCCATCGGGTGATCCTTCAGTCTTTTAAACACATCTCTGTAACTGTGTCATGTTTTGCCGCCAATTTTTTCACTAACTATGAAGTCAATATTAATTTCAGCAGTTGTTTTAGTAGTTGTCGCCGATATGTTCTCTTAAATCTTAAGTCCGTGAACAGTTAAACATTTTTAGATCCGAAATCGTTATCAGATATTTTAAGATCACAATCATACCAATTATAGTTCTTTACGATGTATGGAATAGAATTATTCCAATGGACATAGCGATATTATACTTAAAGATTTCTAGGATAAAGTCGATCTTGTTATGTCATTTCCAAGAGTTCCCACTTGTCAGATGGATTATATCTGTTCATTTATTGTACTATAGTTTCAGGCCGACAAACAAAATGTATAGTGGATCGTTTTTCAGACCCCGATTCATAACTATTTGACCATCGTTAAGGTTATATGGTGTGCATTCGCCTATTCTTTAACAATCAATATGGATTATAGTGATTACTAACATCGCCCAGTTACCGGAAAATTTAGATAATGGATCCAGATCTCTCAAGTTATTTAATATTCCTATTGTGTCACATTATCCTGATGCTGACCGTACATAATAAAAATGTTTTAAATTGATGGAGGTCTTGTACGTATCGAAGCGTTGCTACTGTCTTAAAAAACTTAGCTTATGGAACTTTGGTTTATGATTATTTTTGGACAGACAAGTTGCAGTCAATCTTAATTCATTATCACCGTCCGACTAAGAATTATTTACCTTTATGGTTAAATTGTTCCTGACCAGCATGATATGCTACTATATTAAAGACCTTATCAAACTAAGAAATCCCACATCAATAGTAAGTCTTCTTTCAGGCCTTTGCGGAATTAATGTGGTTTGCGTAAAATATGTGAGGTTTTTCTGACGAATAGTGTTCACAATCCCGACATCTGAGCTAGTTAAGCACTAAGGGACGAAAATTTGCTATATAAAACTTTTCTAAAGACTGGACTTGTGGTACGTTTTTGTGTTCATCTCCTTATCTCCGCTAGACTAACGACAGGTCTAAGCGTATACTTAGAGATGTGTCAGTGAAGAACCTAATTTTCAATTGTAGCCCTGGTTTTTTGATTCTCTGGGGTTAAATTCGGTTAGCCTTTCTTGATATTCAGGCTAACAAGAGACCACTGACTTCAGTTTGCAGGTTAAAGAGAATGGGCATACCTGTAACTAGAGGAGGATATTCTCCACTATATTTATCTTGTCAAAGTATTATGAAAACATTAACTTTTCTAAGGTAATCTATCATTTCTGTTGTAGCAAAATCTCTGCATATTGCCTATAATAATAATAATAATAATAATTATTATTATTATTATTTCGTAGTCTTGGTTTTCTACAAAGTGTAAGTTTTTCTATTATTTTTACATTCAAACCCAGCTTCCTTAGTGCCTGATATATCAAAGGGTAGTCATAACATTTTTACATCGAGGGGAAGTGATCTCTTCTTTATACAAAGAAGTGCAGACATCATAAATCCTTGGTCAGTACATCTGTGTTTTGTAGCCTGTTAGAGATCCTTGAAGTGACTCATAAACTGTTCAAGCGCAATACCACCCTGAAAATCGCGGCACTTTGGGCATTTACTTGTCTGCTAAGGATTTTGTTTGTCAAAAACTCAAATCATTACTCTTACGGAAAAGTTTTTATTATTTCCATAAGATCTGTAGTATTATTCATAAATGTCCTAAATCCGACATGTTTTCTGATTGCGCTTTTGTTTTTTCTTTACAGTGAACTTCCAATTTTCACTTGTCAAGCCCATGTATTTACAATTAACCCTCAAACAAAGAAGTCATGGATTCCGTCAAGCAGTAAAGCAGTCGATGTTAACTTCTTTTATGATTCCAATAAGCACTGTTATCGAATAATTAGTGTTGAAGATTCTTCTGGTTCAAAAAAGGTGATTACAATTTCATTAAATACGCTATTATCATAATTTAAAATCAATATGATTGGCCGCAGTAAGTGATAAAATCTTTACTCAGGTATATCTAAGCGTCATAAATCTTAGACCATACACTGTTTGAGTGAAGTATGTAGTAAAGACCAATTGTGTCACAAAATTGTACAGGATGAGTTGTGACTGTAGATTTAATGATTATTAACCGAGTGGAACATGGCGCAAAGTTTGATTAGCATGGGTTAAATGATAAGACTAACACACTGACTACGTCACTTCAGATAGACAAGAGATTTGTCAAGAGCAGTTCTAGATAACACTCTGGAACCTACATCTCTTTAGGGAGCCACTCAGACTGATCAAGTAAAGTAACTTACCATATTTATCTGAAATAATTGGAAATACTAATTTGGAAAGAAAATTTAAATATTTTCCGAGTATATAAAACCATAATGTGACATTTTTAGCCTGATTTCATCTTGTTGTGTGATTTCTGTCTAGAAGTTGGCTGCTCAAAAAGCAGGTACAAGTAAATACAAGTAAAAAGTTATGTATATTCGTTTGGTACACGTTCGATCATCATTCGTTTTAAAATATAAAACTTCATTACTCTCACCAATTTAAAATATCGTCAAGTTTTGATACTAGTACCAGTAAATAGATAGTAAATGATATTGTTAATCTATGTAAGTTTGTTTAGTGTAAACTGTTAGTCACGGTTGAGTCGTTTTTCTGCTGAAAAAAACCACTCACCTATGAAGATAAAAAAACATAAAGTTCGTCATTTCTATTTACGTATCTGAATAATAACATTGCGTATAGCCATCAAAAATATTTTGACTGTCTATATTTTTTTAAGTTGAAACATAAACGTTGTTTAGATTTTCTTAGTGTAGTAATAGTTAAAAATTGAACCTATATATATTTCAAATTAGTTTTTTCTGGTATCGTTAATCACTTAAAACATATGTACTACTAAGAAACTTGTGTTATTAGGTGCTATCTATGCCAGATAGAGTAAGCCTCGAACAATCACTTTAGAGTGATTTAATCATTAGAATTATTGAGGGTGGGTAAGGTCCTCTGCCTCCATAAAGATATATCCATATAGCAGGATGTTATGTCACCCATATCATTAAAGTCCTATCCATCGTCTCCATATGGAGTCAATGTTTTTTGTTTGAAAACGGAAAATGTTAAACGGTTAAATTTGATCAATAGTCTGTCAAGGACGAGTTGGGAAACTTCTTCCAATCAGTACATAGAAGTTTTAATATCTTAAAGAAATGAATAAAGCACTAAGCTATTCTGATCACCAACAACAACTTTCAACAGTCACCTTATGGGTTGAATGTTTGTTTCGTGAGTTTAACCATAGTTTTCTAAAACAACTGCCTGCTCCGGTCTATACGACATGGTGGCAGAACAATCGTTGAACAAACATTCGTCAGTTTTTAACATTTAAATATCCCTAATTTAGGTTATTATTAATAGTACATTGACGGAAAAAATGACATTCAAGAAGACTTCACAAAAATTCGGACAATGGGCTGATTCGAAAACTGGTGGAGTTCATGGTTTGGGGTTCAGCTCAGAAGCAGATTTAACCATGGTAAGTTTTTTAAAAAAATGTACAGGAATTTATTTCTCACTTATAAAATATATAGTACCATTAAACTACAAACTGGTCTATATATTATAAAATCATATCTAAACGTTGAACCAAAATCAGTGTATCAATAAGACTTGAATTAATGACCGATAATTGTGAATCACTTCTGTTAACTTTGCATAATGTACTATCCTTAAAATGTTAGATTAAATTGTTTATATTTTTCTATATTCAACTGCTTTTTAGATCGTACCATGCGTAACGTCGAGTTGATTATCATTATTTTATCTAGAAAAATAATTGTTAATATTTTGTCAAGAAATATAATAAAAGTCAAATATTTCAAGTGATACGGGATCTCAGACACTCCTCAGGTGATTGGGAGGTTTAGAACTTAAATATTGCTTTAAGAGTTGAGTAACCATAAATAGTTTCATGTGTAATTATTGTTGTGTAAAGCGTATGAATATTTTGCGATTAGCTGAATTTAACTGGGTAATGTAGAATAACAATATATGATCTGATAATTGCGAATGCGGTACACCAAATGTTGAATTGCAGTTCTTTACATTCCTCATTGCAAAATACTACTTGTAATACCACAAAATACGTGGTTTCCCCCCACACACACATGCACACTAATTTCATTGACGCAGCTTATAAATCACATTAAAATTTCAGTAATTGGCCCTATTCTGATTGAGTGGAATAATTGTCAAGTGTCACAATTCATATTTAAGTTGAATTTTTTGGTTTGCGTTATATACATTTTGTTAATTTCATATAAGAGGGATCGTAATATATGATTATTTGTGTAACATCAGCTTCGTACTTCTATAAAACTTATATATTACCACTAAAAATGTGCGGTGCAAGGGATTTACTATTCGTAAGACCGGTATTGCCCAATGGTAGTATAGCTCAATATGTTGATTATCCACGGAAAACATCATCTTTACTACATGCCATTAAAGTCTGCATTGTGAATCCCCTCTCAAACCCTAATTCTTCTAGTTAATCTTTTATGGTGAACCCTCAAAGACCAAGATTCCTAACTGATTTGATTTTATTAGGTTCTCAGAAAAAAACTCAGACCCCCACTTTAAGATAACAACTACATTCCAAACAATCATAGATTGTTGAGAGTCGTAATCCTGCGAAAAATCGGCGATTGTTTCAAATCTTGGAACTAATCCTATTGTTATTATTATTATTATCTTTTCTACTTAAAACCTGAAAATTTGTGAGATCCGTACTCTAATTTTCAGCTAATAGGAAATCTAGCGAGTTGATCTCAGTTTCATGCTAAGTACTACTCGCATATCGATCGTGTCATTAGATCATTAATGTTCAGTGAGTTTGGTGGTGTATGTAGAATAAAACTATAGTTCAATGTGATTTCATAGTTTTATAATTTTGTCATTCAACCACAATTTTACAACCCACTGTCGTTACTTAAATTTTAAACATTCGGGTTAAACTATTATTTTTCGTACAACTGTACTTAGTTAATGGATTTCATTGACTGTTTTTTTACAAAGATTGTTATATTCTATAAATGCACATCATTTATCTAACTTCACACATACAATGCACAAAAATATAAAAAGTTTAAGCTGGTCATTATATATATATATATATATATATATATATATATATATATATATATATATATATATATATATATATATATATATAATGCCTACTGAAATAGAGTTCTTCAACAACTGAAAGGATAATGATTTTACTGGATAACTAACTTGTACTTAAAATAAACTTCTCATGTAGATCGTAGTAGTTAGAACTGTTTAAAATAGTGAATTATAAAATCAATCTAATTATCAAGTCTAAAACAGTATTAAAAAATTTTAGCATTTAACACTAATCGAATCCCATTGGTTAAGTTTGTGACGTGCTTTATTGAACTAAGTGATGACTCAACATCGCATAATATCACTTAGATTCGGTTACCCATTTGAAGGTAATCTGCAAGGAGTTTCGAACTTACATATAATTAGTGGCAACTGTACTAGTTCAGTGGAAAAGTTGCTTACCATGGCGTATTAGGTATCAGTATCTCCGATTCTTTTTAATTCCAGATCTATATTGTTGATAGTCAGCTCACATCGGTATAAAACCTTGATCCAGATTTTCTTACTTGGTTACCACTACAAACTGCATGACATCAAACGAATTCCTATATAATATCAAGTCACGTAACATGGTGAGTACACCAAAAACGTGATCGGTAGATTCCAGTCACTATTAAGGACGCTGATTAAAATTCTATTATCCTCATCTACCTAGCTACCTTGTTCTCTCACTTCTACCTAAATCAAGTTACAGAAGAGCATCCTTCATCAAAAAACAGGTAGTAGCTGACATGGTCTAAACACACATGAATCACAATTAATCGATGTTAGTTCTTAATTTTATCAAACAATTACTTTCTTTTTACCTTTGATCCACTTTATTTATCATTGGTATTTTTTATTATTGTCATTGTCTTGTTTAAATATCACGCAAAAAACGGGATACATAAATATTATCTGTCCACTTTGAATTTTGTTCCAGATTTTTTTTCCATAAATGCTTTTCGTTTGTAAATGCCTGATTTCATATTATCACTTCCATTTTTATTTGGCTTAACCAATACCCCAATGACCAATCCGATCATTTGATTTTTTTCCCAATTGGCAATAATCCAGGTTGACGCTATCTAAATGATTTATACAGATTTTCAGACTATATAAACAAGTAATCCACATCTATGTCCCTGTGCGTATATATATATATATATATATATATATATATATATATATATATATATATATATATATATATATATATATATATATATATATATATATATATATATATATATATATATATATATATATATATATATGATCATACCTAAATACCATACTTTTTGGCGTCATCTACACTCGAATGCACTTAGATCTTCAGAATCAATACTCATCCTAAGCTGTTCCCTCTTTCTATTCCATCCAGTGTGCAAAATACTATTAACAATATAAATGATATTTCATTATAAATTATTTATTGAATTTCCCCCACTGTTGTCGGTAGTTTGACATTAGTTTTACTTCGTCTCATAATTTCGTGCTTTTGAAATCAGCCATCACATTTATTTCAAAACGTAGTCACTGGCCTTAGTAATTTGTATTTTTTCCTTGCAATTCCTTTCTTTATTTAGAAAAATATGGCATATATACACAATACTGAACTGTTTATAAAGGAAAGTTAGTCAGTCATAAGTAGCGTAGCACCTGGTAAAAAGAAAAAAATATTGATGTAAACCTGTAGCTGTTTATTATGAATGCTCAATCGCACCAAACATTACGTAATTGATTAAAACCTCCTTATGACTCCCACATTCTCTATAACTGGGTTGTATTTCTAAACCTTTCGTCTGGTTTCGGTTAGAGAAACATGTTAGTAACACTTACAAGTGATTGGTCAATAAGTAGTAGTGGCCAATGCCCTGAATACTGATCGGAATCTATCGATCACGTCCCAATATAACCACTAGTCTAAGTGACTCGGAAGCCCGTGCACCATGTTGGGATGTTTGGTGGTGTGATATAGTCGATAGGAAATACTGTTATTAAGCCATTTGAGCTGCGATCGATCTGCAGAGTTTGCTGTCGACTACGTCCAACTGCCTGTTATGTTAGTGAGTAACATTCAACAGCAGCCAATCAATCATATGCATATAGATACTGATATAAAACTAAAAGTCTAGTTATTGGTATTATTAATGATGTTAAAAAATGAAGGGTTAATAATGTTTTGAGAAGGACAAGTGCAATACATATTGTTGGAATTAAAATTTACTATGTAAGTGATAAATATATTTGCTTCATTCTAACTAATTTTATACTATTGGATCTAATGTTCACTCATCATAAATTATGATTATTTTGTGTGACGGCCTCTTGATTTCTGCTGTTTGATTCATTTAGATATACATTTTCTAAATTATGCCAAATACACTAAATAAGGTCAGGAAACTGAAATAAGTAGAAAGGTTTAATGGTAAACCGAATCATTGTGTATATAAATTGTAGGTTATGTATGATTTTCTTTTGACCCAGAAAAGGACATTTAGGCCGAGATCTGGAGTAGGTGTATAGTCTAACTCACTCGATAGAATGCGTTATTTATAATTTCTCACCTACCATTTGAGCCTCAAATGGCATATGAGCTTAGGCATATGATGTCTGTACTCATCTAGTCTAGCAGTATCATCACAACACAATGTAAGTCAGTAATTTCATGAAATGTTACCAAGTTTCGGTTTGACTGATATCAACCAGTACTAGACGGATGAATATGCTAGTCGTTAAAAGGTATACCTTATACGATAATAATAAAGATTAAATTGTAAATTATTTAGTATTTCTCAGACGAATAATTTTGGTAACTAAACTATAATCAGTGTTTCTGTCTAAGGCAGTATAACCAATACCAATCACTTTTTTCTCTCTTTATCGCATTGGCTAACAATCTATTTTCCAAAAAAACATAAGCATTTGAACATCGGTGACTGTTAGACCTATTGTTTTATGATTTACATAGCTGGCTTATCTTAATAAAATAACCACTAAAAACCAGGATGCACTGAACAACTGTTTCTTCCTACTATGCATTCATGAAATATCCCCGGGGTCACAACCATAATTTTCACATCTCATAGTGAGCTCTTAGTCTACAGATTAATGAGTCGGGATCTAGTCGTTCCCACCTCTCACTTTAGTTAATTCACAATGTTCAGCAACCATCTTCCAATGTCATCGGTAGATAACTGCCTCATACTGTACATGGCTGTTTTCCTTTGGTCACGGCTTCTCATTAGAACTCCGGCAATTATCCCCTGAAATTAGTCATTAATAAGCACATGATTCCACTCTTTGTTTCCTTTTAGATTTAAATTTGAGACTGCCTTATTGTAAATATTTATAACTATTCAGAGGATTCAATCCGTCGATCAACAACATAGTTTTTCCTCACATCAGTTTCTTTATCTATTTTTTTCCCTCGATTCACTTACACTTACCAAGTGGTGCGTAACTAATCCTTTTTACTAGTAATTAAACTCGATTTTAGCTTCAGGTCACATTTTCCATGTGTAACACACCGATACTACCAAGTTGTTCAAATCAGAGTAGATGAAATATTGTTGTTTGAATTTATGAACTAGTATTCACATGTTAAATAATTATTTAACCATTGGATCTCTTTCCTCACTTTGTACTTTAATCTTTACATTAACTTTTGTTTGCTTAGTTAAACCCGTTTTAATAATGAGTTTAGATTAAAACTAACTACTATAACTATTTGATATAGGATATTTCTTTAAAACACAAATATCTTGTGGTGGGTATTGCTTCATCTATATGAATACCCAGTTGGTGATATAATTCTGGTTAGTGCTTTTTAGCAAGATTGCTTTTTAAGAGCTGAAGTTACTGACCCCATGCCCAACCCTTTTCCTTTACCCGGGTTGGGGACCGGCAGTAACTCTAGAAGAGCTACAGGCGGAGTTATATAACGTTAACCATTTGCTTAATATGTATGTTTATAAACTGCAGGTTGTTATTTTATATCATGATTTAAGGATTAATATAATGTTATTTTTTATTAATTATTATTAGTATTAGTAACTGGTAAATCAATATAATCTTCAGGCACTATTAGATCGCTTACTTCTTCATGTTTTAAAAAAATTTATCGTTTGTGTTAGGAGATGACGTTTTCGACTTATGTTAATATTAACTTTTCTGATGTATTCAAAACTTGTTTATTAAGCATTTAATCATCATTGAGTCAGTAATTTTGAAATTTTTTAAACTTTAGTTAGTTTCTAAAATATTACATAACCAATCCCTAACATTATCGGCAAGTAGATTTTATGAAGTAATGGCTAGTAGTCATCAAGTTGAATGCACTTAAATTTTAACTAATCTGTTCACAAGTTCATATTTCACTTTATTCAATTCAATTTAGTCAATTGTTTATACTATTAAAGTAGGATTTTGTAATTTGATGAAGTAATGTTCAATTATTAAAATATAAGCAAAGAATAAACAAAGAATATTGGTCAACAAATGATGATATGCTATAGTACGATATATGATGAGTTATAAGTTGTTCACAAGACGGATTTATTCACTTAATCTCTTAAGCAAACTGATATTCGAAACAAAACAAAATTTTATGACCTCATTAACTCTAACGGAATCTTTGCTACATCATGATACACATATATTCATCTTTAATCACCCACTTATGTATAAGTATGTCAATATCTGTTGTAACGTTGAATTTCAAATATTTTAGGCTGTAAGCAGCTGATGAGAACCTAACGAAATAAAATGAATTCATATTATTCTGCACCAATCTTTGTTCTTGCTCTCTTTAAAATAATAAAGGGAACTATGTGTATAAAATAAACTGATATTATAAGACAAAATAGTTGCTCAATAGAAATAAGTTTTTAATTTAATAAAATAATATGATTAAATGTTATGGATGATCAAACGGTTAGGCTTTCTCATCACACCGGCTTAGTAACACTAGCCATCATACACAAACACTGTAGTTTAAAGTCCCGTAAGCAAATCTGCACTTGGTTTGAATAAATCATGTATTTTTAAAAAATCCTGGAATTGTTTATTTTTCTTACTGGAAATTTATTCGATCGCATTTCTTTCAAAGATTTTAATAAAGGAACTTTGATGTATATAGTTCATATCATAGTAAATAATTAAGGTACTTTAAACTGTTGGTTACTTTTTATCAGTGTTTTACACACCATCAATTTCAACAGAGGGACTATGTTTTGCTGATCGAATTCCCCCTATATCATTTTATCGACCGAAAATACAGGCTGGATCATATATATATATATCACATGATTTACCCACCAATCAAAATAAGACTTATACAATCTTAGCATTGTGTCAAATCAATGACGTTCGACCGGTATGAGTAGCCTAGCGTCCTTATTGGTGTTATGTTCGCCTAGTCCATCCGCTTGAGTCCAGAACACCAATACCAGCTCCCACTATGCGAATCGAATCGAATCGTATATTCCAAACATACTGGCTTTATATATCAAACAAACAGACCGCAACGCACGATAAATAGGAAATAAAATTTGTACACAATAAGCCATAAAGTGGCTGTGAACGTGGGAGATAGCAGTTAATAAACTGAGCATAATTTAGGGACAGTAAATCGTATAATAATAAATTATAGGTCGAAATGAAGCTTATAATAAGAGGAATATAAATATACATAATCTAATTATTGAATAATTATACAATAAGAATATTTATAGAATATTGGTCCATTAATAGTCCTCGGAAGTTATCCGTATTTTAATCTTCACTAGGGTATAACATATATTATCTGTTAAACTGCTTTTTTTCAATATATGCTGAGGCGATCTCAAAATTACTCAAACTTTTTTAATATTCCCAAGCCCTCACTAAGAACATTAATCACAAATGCTTTTCTTTCTCAACTGGATTTTTCGAATGGATTTTATCTTTTTCTGATTATTTGCCACTATTCTTAATTCACTACTTCTCTGCACAATTTCATTATTATATATATGCTTAATTGTACCATTCCAAATTGTTCTACTTGAATATTAAGTTTTTACTACACTTCGTCTAATTCTTGTGTTATATTTCAGCTGACTTTATCGAGCCCACAATAAAACTGTTCACGTGTAGAATAACTCAGTCGTTCAGTAATTCACAAGCAGTGTAGTCTAACCGAGAATTCCATATACACCTAATCGCTATTATCAAGACTTACTTTTTACAACTGTTACCCCTCGTGCAAGAGCATAGGTAGCCCACCAGCATTCTCCATTAAACTGTTCTGAGTGGTCCTTTCCAGCTGCTGTGCATTCTTTTGATGTCTGCTTCCAGTTCCCGATGCAATGTGCTCTTTGGTCTTCCTCTTTCCCATTTCTCTTCAGCTCTTTCCTCGTGCTGAAGTTTGATTATTTCCGCAATGTATGTCCTATTTATGTCCAACGTCTTTTCCTAATTTCCTCTTCACATGGAACCTGGTCTGTTCTCTCCCACAGTAGGCTGTTCCTGATGGTATCCATCCAACGGATATTGAGTATCTTGAGTAGACAACTGTTTATAAATACTTGTATTTTTTGATGATGGTTGTAGTAGTTCTCAAGGTTTCGACCCGTACGGTGGGACTGTCTTGATGTTCGTATTGAAGTTTCTGATATATTAAAATAAGTAATTGTTAAACCTCACTAGACACTGTGAACTTCCAAAATGTCATTTTGTCCCAGATTAATTTTCAAGACCCTTTTTACCTGACTAAAATATTTATTTAAAAAAAAACAATGACATAACAGTATTTTCATCAGGTTTTATTTTTCTGTTGTTTTTTTCTTTTCTATTCTTTATTCTTCAAGTTTATCAATCAATTTAAACAATGTGTAGATTCAATGAAGACTCAAATTCAACCAGAATCAAATAGTCCATCTGGATTACGTGTACCAGTAAGTTTTTTCGTATTTTAAAGTATTTCTATCGTTTTATTGGAAGTGTTTTATGTTCTCCGAGCGACATAGATGGCTTAATTTTAAATCTTTCGTTGTCGTTCGTCTGAAAATAGCAACGCTAGGACAAAGAAAGCTTCACAACTAAACCTTTCAACTCAGAGATCACGAAACCTCCAATATTTTAGTAGTCGAATCCTCGAAGTTCATCTTATTTGGGATTTGTCAGCTGAAAGAACATGTATCCTAAAATTGACATTCACACTGAAATCTTGAACCCCAATACCTATCCATCCGTCCAAATACAAACTCATTTATTAACCGAGTTAAAGCCTAGATAATGATCCACTTCACATGATATAATATTTATTATTATTGTTATTTTTTATATTTTCTTACTAATTAAAGTTTATCGAGTCTCAGTGTAAACATCAAGATTGCGATACAAATACATTCTTACCCGACGTATCTTAAATTAAGCAAAATATGCATCCTGGATCCACTGTTTATAAAGATATGTTACTATTATTGATTGACTGGTTGATTAAATAATCTGAAATACTTTTAATCTTATATAAATCATATGATCTTTATTTACACATTACATAAACAGATCATTTTTTTTACACTAAAATATGTAACTTTTTTCTACCAACCTGGTATTGTTTAATACACTCATAGTTTACTTCCTGATCTCACATAAATTATACTCATTTATTTGGAAGTAAAACCAATTTGTACTTTTCACACATTATGTAATCGTTTTATTCATCGTTATCATTGATTTATAAACTACCTTGATTGGTTTAATAATTTCGTATATGCATATAAATATTACTGTATATTCGAGTAAAGCCTGATGAGGATCTAATCGAAAACAATATTGTTCGCTTATATATGTTGTTCTAACTTTCATCTCTATCTTTACTATTCTGTAGAAAATATTATGTAAACTAGTCAAGCTTGCTACAATGTTATCCAATATTTTGTTTTTTTATTTAAACACATAAATATTGGTACAGAGGGGCACCAAAATGTTCATCCGCCACACAATAAAAATGGGATTGTGAATAGATAGCAGAGAAAATTTGGGTATAATTAAAAAATAACAAAAAATGGAGAGATTAGTGTACGAAAGTGAAATATTAATAATATTGATGATGAGAGGAGAAGTTCAGTTACGAAGAATACGACCATAAAGAATCCTTTCAGTTAAAGAAGTTACGCTCACTTACAAGGAGAAGGTTACATCACGACCACCACCGACTCCTATTCTGAGCAATATCTGATAACATCTCAAGCCAAATGTTGCACTATATCTAGGACCCCAACCAGGGATTCGTGAAGGACCGACAGATGCCAGTCCTTTACATTATTCTTCGATATCACGACACCATGGTCATACAATGAACACCTCTTCACCTTTACAACCAGTCCCAGTCTCGACAAATAATGCACAATATGGAATTCTCTGGAGCGACGTTCGTAGAACATGTACAAGTCCCTGAAGTCGGGGTTTCAAGATGGGAACACCAAAATAAACTATCGTCACTGTTCCCGAACACACGTTGCGTAACCTTCACACTGCTAATATAATATAACCGAATATCAGTTATTCTTCAGAGATAAGGATGATCAAACATATAGTGCTTAACATTCACAACTCGGAAAGGTCAGGTTTCAAGAGCATAGAGCAAAACTGCTCTTGTAGTGTATCCTACTTATACGGACCGATATAAGTAAAATGTGTCAAGAATCTGAAGTAGGATTCTTACTGACGGAAGGGGGACATGATGAGAAGAGAAAAAAACAATCCAAGTAGCAACAGGAATGAAAGAACGATGAAGCTTGTAAGAAACGATGCAATGAATATGTGAAAACGATGTATTTTAATGTATTGTCTCCATATTCTAAAGATGCAGTGTGTGATTTTGCTTACTACAATAAACTGATTTACCCTACTAAAGTCTTCGTGCATTACACTCTCACCGGTCCGTTGTAGATCCCACATTTTACAACTGGACTAACATCACGAAGGCACCAAGGATGGCTCAGATTGGCATAGGTTGCTAACCAGTAGCTTTAATTGTCTTCAGCTGATCGATCTCATTTTGTGGTGAAAATTACTTTTCGAAAAAATAAAATCTCCATACAACCAATGTGATTAATAATATACGAGTTCAAGTTATAAGGAGTTTATACCGTTTGCAGATTAAGGTTATACCAATCTTGCCCTCATCCGAAATGATCCCTATTTCTAGAAAGATATGTTTTTTTCTCTCATTTCCTTGAAAGTTCTCAGAAGTTAAGCTTTTCAGCTGCTTCATTGTTTTACATTTTATATCATCTTTTCATAACTACTCTATTTTTCAAAAACATAAAAAATAGTAGACTGCACAGGTAAATGAAAAGGATAATCTATCCCGGCGATAAAATTTGGTAACATTCAAAAACTCATGGTGAAACACTTGTATTGTTGTATATTTCCTTATGAGGAGATCACAACTCTCATCATATATTGGTAGCTGAAGTGTACAATGCGATTGGTCGTTTTTTAGTTCCAGTAGTAACTAACATATTTAGAAGATCAGTTTGGGTATTTATTGATGAATAGATTACATACAGATATAACTGTTAATCAAATCTATTCCAAGAAATCTAATGTTCCATCCTTTATATTCATTTCTAATTTTCAGTATTTAAGTTAAGTAAAAACTGTTTACATTAGTAACAACGGTATAGTTAGTATCTCAGTTGATTGATTATTGGTCTTGTGTATGTGTACTTTTCTTATTTGCTTTTCGTGGGAAAGTGTAATTTTTACTAATTTTTACCTCGTCATCGCTTGGATGTTTTTTTCTTGCGATTATCTCTTTTGTATAGTCAATGATTCATTGGTAGGTGTAATCTAATCAGTAAACTGTCTATTTAACGATGATGCAGCAAACCCAAACGATGACAATAATAGTAATGATGAAAAATGTGAAATAAATTACCCTTGACTAGATAATTAACTAACTTGTCATTTGAGACATAGTTTTTTCTTGTCTCAGTTTACTAGTTATACATTTCTACAACTTCTATCCGAGCCTTATTTTAATGCGTCTATTGTTGTGTGTGCATACATGTATGTGTGTGTCTCAGTGTACTTGATCAAAATACTAACTATTTATCTTGAAATTGCTTATCTTGTGAACTTGTTGCATACTTGTTCAAAAACTCATCTTAATTGCATCCTAGAATCCAGAGTTATTTCACCTTTGAACCCTGAACAAAAAGCAGAAGGCAGGAAACATAGCAAAAACCTTACTCCCCAAATTTATTTATATACAAAATGGCGATAATAGTTGATAACAAATTCATTATTTGTCCAATCATTATAAAGAAAGTACATTCAGCCACTTTATTAGTTTTTTTCTCTAAGTTCCTTATTAGCACGGATTAATCGAAGTGTTTTCATCATCTGTCATAGCTGCTGTAAACTTTTTCAAACAATTATCAAAGGGTCTCAACAATGAAAATCAGTTGCACAACCGTTAATCATAAAGTTGTATTTGATATTTTCTTAATCATAATCTCGTAACTCATTTTTTAAATTCATTATTTTCTATGTTTTATTCTATGGTAAAATTATTATTTACAGATAAACCAATCAGAATCGAAAACGCAACTTTTAAGTTTTTGCTTGAAATTTAAATACCATGTATAACAAGCAGTGAAAATACCTTTGTATAGTGTTCAAAATATCCTATAGGATTTCGAATGATTATTTTTTGTAATTATGGATTAAAAATGATAGTATTAAGTGTAGTAAATGCCTAATTCTATCTCATCCTGATCACTAGATCCTGAAAAAAACATTAATTTTGTGGCAATATGTTTTATGGACTAACCAATAAGACAGCGCCTCGTGTTTTTGAGCGAAATTCATGCATCCATATGGTTATAGTACACTTTAACATTATAGCTGATGTCAGTTCGGGAATAAATCCTTAATTCTAAACATCCAATCCTTACCCTAAATAAATAAATTAATATATTTGTAATATCCCAACGAGTAGAAAAATTAAATTTTCTGACGTTTCGTGACTCATTATAAACCACTTCTTCAGAGAATAAATAACCGAATCAAAATTAATCTAAGTTTATATTCCTGCGTTGTTTCTTCGTACTATTTGAACTTAGATTAATTTTGATTTGGTTGTTTATTCTCTGAAGAAGTGGCTTACAGTGAGTTACGAAACGTCAGAAAATTTAGTTTTTCTACTCATTAGGATATTACAAATATATTAATTTATTTATAATAATATACCCATTGCTCAATTTGTTCGAAATTATCAGGTCAAACCTTGGTAATGATACTTGCTTACCCTATATAGCTAACCCTAACTTAAAACAATATAGGGCCTCTTATAAATCTTTTTAGGTTCTTATACGGATGATCTATATCCATTCTGAAGAATTTAGAACTCGTTGTTCTTTCATTGATAAACAGAGCAGCCTGAAAAAGATATTAATAGATTTATCAATCGTAAAGTCTGTTTACTTCTCAATATTATTGTTTTCTTTTCCATAAACTATCCCTTTCTGATTGATTGGTTAAAATCTGGTTGGAAATTTGTCGCGCTTAATTTAAACTCATCCGCAAAGTATGGTTTTGCTCATTCTATAATCCCGTTTTTATTTGTCTTGAAGTTGTACTACATACGTGTAGATTCACAGTGAGGTTGGTTCTGTTATTTCCTGTTATATATATATATATATATATATATATATATATATATATATATATATATATATATATATATATATTACTCATATTTTCAATTCCCTCTCGTTACCTTGACTCCCTTAATCAACTAACAGTCACTGTCCATAGATTGACATCATATCATATAGGAAAGATTAGGTACATAAAAAAGAGAACCAAAGTTGTAGTGAAATATTAGAGCTAAGGTTCTAAAGAAAGGCAAAGATTGCTGAGCATTATCACAAATAGG